TGCAGGGCCGCCGACCGGAAGCTCCAAACCCGTAAAAACGGGTGCTGTCCAGGGAAGGCCTGAATTCCAAGCAGCTCATTGCCCAGGTTCTCGGCGAAACAGTGCAGTGAGCAGTCTGGGGGTGGGGGGGGGCGTCTCTCGCACGGGGTGTGAACTTTGATAACAGCTCCCTGGCTCTGGCAGGAATCACGAGCGCGCGTACGGATGTGCGTGCCCCCTCTCGGCGGCAACTTGCCCAAAGGCATCGGCGGTGGATGGTGGGGAGGCGTCGGTTAGGGCCGGGCAGCCGCCGTGGGAAGAGCGGAAACACAGACAATTTCCGGGCTCTGCCCTACCCTCCCCGGCCCTGGGAGAAGAGGAGAGAGGTAACGTGGTGGCCAGATCCCAGCTCTTGTAAAAGAGTTACTGCAGTAGCACAAATGCAGACACAGTACGAAGCCCGTTGGAGTTGGAAGACCTCCACGGGGCACCCCCCCCCCGGGTGCTCCCTGCCCGGCTCTGTCTCCTGTCCCCCACACAGTACGCGTCTGGGGAAACTCACCGGGCAGAACGCCTCTCCCCGGGCCATTTCTGTGCCCGGCACGTAAGGTATCCTGTGTCCAACCCCCCACGTCCAGGGAGACGCTGGGTGCAGGTTTTGGGCAACTTGGGATGTGCGTTTCAAGGACGTCGTATGGGAGTGTTTTCAGCTCTGCTCTGGAGGAAGGCCTCACCCTGGGCAGGGACACGCAGGGTGCTTCCAGACCAGGCGGCATGGGGTGGGGGGCAGCCAGGGGCGGGCTGGGATTCTCAGAGAACCAGCCTTGCAAAGGCGGCCGTCCACCCAGCCACTGTGTGCAGTTTGAGGTCTCCCGGCTGCAGCGTCTCCGTGCGCACTCTGCAGGCACCGCGTGGACACGCGTGACGCTGGGCTCCAAGTCTCGGGACAGGAAAAGGAAGCGTGGCCACGTGCTCTCCGGGGTAAAGAGTTACGGTCCGTAAACTGAAATCCAGACCAACACTGGTGTGTCCCAGATTTAAACAAAAACAAAAAGAAAAACAAAACAAAAAAAGCCCCACCGAACTGGAGTGTTTAACGAATCTAAATGACAGATTAGCTGTACCTCTCCGCCACGGCGGGCGGCCCCTCCGCGCCGGAGGCCCCCGTGAGGAAGAAACACAGACGGGCACGCCGCTGTTAGCAATGTACCTCCCGAGCAGCATCCCTCTGCAGGTGTCGCGGCCCGATACTCCGGAGCGCCGACGGGCGCGGGCCCGCACTCCCCGCAGGGGGCCGAAACCAGGGCCGTTTGTTGCTCAGGGCCTCGCCAAAGACGCACCGCTGTGGGCCTGCGCCGTCACCCGACACGCACGGTCACACGCAGGCAGGCAGCAGACACCGCGTCCCCCTGGGGACGGGGGGAGCTGCACGGGGGCACATTGGTCTGAGGTTTCCCTGGAAACCGAAGGCAAGCCTGATGGATGCAACGGGAGAGCGAGATCTACAGACCCGCCACCCGTCAGCGGCCGGCCGGCCCGTGGCCCCTCCGGAGGCAGGGAGAAGGGGGAATCCATCGCGCGGTCTGAAAAGTTTATTTTTCATCAGTTCCTCCGGGCGTCCAGCGCATGGGCAGGCTTTGAGATCATACGTATTTTTTTGGTATGGTTTTGGCATCGTGTATATATATATATATATTTAACAATCGCTGGGACAAGGCTATTATTTAATGAAAGCTACCTCCCAGAATGTGTGCCCCCCGCCCACCGGAGATGATCACGTAAACACGGTCCCCTCCTTCCGTGCATTCCCACGTGGGTCTGGGGAGGGGTGGCGGTTTGCAAGGCTGGGCGCCGGCTGCCCGCAGAGACCCCCTTGGCCCCTCAGCACTGCCACCAGGCCACACGTGTGCGAGCATGTCGTCGGCCACCTGCTGGCGGTGGCATTGTGGGTGGCACTCCGTGGTTTGGACAGGGAAACGTGGGCGGGGTTTCACTCTGTGTCTCCTTCGCGGGGAGGGCAGACAGACAGAGCTAAGGCTGTGAACTGAACCCCACGGGCGACCCGAGTTCGAAACGTCATTCATTCCGCAGTCACTGTGCATCCAGACCACATTGCTCAGGCTGTCGCCGGTGACAGGCACCGTCAACACGACCGGGTCCACCTCCTGGGGCGGGAACTCGGGACCACACAGCAAGAGGGGCGTCACACGACAGGAGGCTCACGGGCTCTGGCGAATGTGAAGTGACCGGGCGTCCTCTGGACCCAGGCACCGTGGGGAGCAGGTGCGGACGGGAGGGGGAGCGGGACAGGTGTACCCACTGAAACTTCTGCACGGGGCCCCCGGGGCCTGCATCCAAGCTGCTGGCCCCCAGGAGCTGCCGTGCACGTCCAGTGATGCCTCCACCCCATGGGTGTGAAACCAGGACAAAGTGACCTCTGTTTGCTCGGGGCTGAAAGCCACCTCCTGTGTCCCACAGAGCCGTCTGCAAAGGGGACGGGGAAGCAGGCAGGATGACGCCTGGACGGAGGAGCCCAGGACTGAGCATGAAACACGCCGTGGAGAGTCAGAGTCACGATGCCGTGTCCCCTGCACCCACCGCCACACCCCCCTGCTGGGCCCCTGCAGGGGACTACCGGTGCCGACGGGACAGCATGTCTTTGGTCCTCGTGCCGGGGGGGGGGGTCTCCTTCTGTTACAGGTGTTAAAACACTCTATGCATTTAACGTGAGAGGGGTTGTGTTAACGAGAGTGTGTGTGTGTGTGTGTGTGTGTGATGAACTGTGTTCAGCTGAAGACAAAGAGACATCAAGAACCCCACGTGGCCCTGGCTGGCGTAGCTCAGTGGGTGGAGCGTGGGCTGCGAACCAAAGTGTCACAGGTTCGATTCCCAGCCACGGCACAGGCCTGGGTTGCAGGCCATGGCCCCCAGCAACCGCACATGGATGTTTCTCTCTCTCTCTCTCTCTTTCTCCCTCCCTTCCCTCTCTAAAAATAAATAAATAAAATCTTAAAAAAAGAGAGAGGGAGAAACTCTGAAATGTTTTTTAAAAAGCATACATACATATATATAAACAATGATAAGTTTAAATCACTTCTACAAATACCAGAAAAGTAGAACAAGGAATATGGACTATGAGCCAGATCTAGGAAATTGGAGCCAGGCAGAATCACTGAGGGGCTTAACCATTAAAACACAAAACGTGTTAAAAAAAAAAAAGGCGGACGTGAACGTGTCCACCCGCCCGCAACACCCCCTGCTCCCTCACCTCCGCCGGCGCACCATCCAGAAGGTCACCGCCAGCTACAGACCACGGATCCAGGTCTGCCTTTCTTTCCCTTTCATAAAGCCGCCCAGCTGCGTGTGCTCTGCGGCCGGAGCGAGCCCTGGGCGCACCTGAAACAGAGGCCTCATCTCCCCGGGGAAAAAAAAAGGCGTCTCTATTTTTAGATGACACCGGGTCCTCGGCTGCGTGCATGCGTGGCAGGCAGGCGTGGCACCAGAGACGGAGTCACGGCTCAGGGTGGGAGGGGAGGACCGGGAGGTCAGGAGGCGCTTTCTCCCCAAAGCAGCGCATCCTGATGGACTCGGAGACGTCCACGCCGGTGGGCAGACCTCTCAAAGTTCAAAGTGCTGGAGGAAGGACCGTACGTGGCCTGCCCCCACCCCCCCCCCCGAGGGAAGGCTGCATCTCATGAGCCCTGGAGGGGATTCCGGCATCTTCCCTGGAGTTCTGGCCAAAGAGCAAGGAGGAGAACTTTCCAGCAGGACGCACCTGGAACAGGGCTATGTCAATAGCACAGGGGACTTTTGCATCAAGTGCTGGGGCCACAGGTTACGTCCACGGTGCGGGCCCTTCCGAGAAAGTGTCAGAGAGGATGATATCGAGGTACCCCTGTGTAGGAGACCATTCTGCGTGACATGGGCCCGGCTCCCACTCGGTTTCCCCAGTGTTACTGCGCAGTGTGACTGTGGATCCCGTGTAAACGCACCTCGGCGACTCGGGGTCACCATCCACTGGGCACGTCCCCTTCTTTGCTCGGGTCCCCGCCCAGCGGCGAGGCGTCCGGGAGACCAGGCCCTTGCTGCCCGCCCCCGTCCACGCCCACAGGCCGTGCCCAGGACCGCGGTGTGTGGGTGCTGGCCGGGCAGCCGCGGTCCCTCCTCGGTCCCCTGCAGGCAGGTCAGTGGGCGCAGCCCAAAGCCCGGGCCCGAGGCCGGCTCTGCGGCCAGCACCGGAGACAGCAGCCAGGAAGAGCCCTGGGATCCCCAGCCCCGACTCCCTCCCTGGCCGTCACGCGGCTGCCCGCCGTGAGAGCACTGTGTGACTGCTGTCCCTCACGAGCGATCATCGTGCGCTTCGAATCCCCGAGAGAGCCACCCGAAGGCCAGAGTCTCAGCGGCCCGGAAGGGCCACGGCGGGGGCCGTGAAGGTTTCAGGCGCGCTAACCCCGACGCCGGAAAGCACAGCCGGCTGTGTGTTCAGAAGCATGCATTTGTGGTGTGACCTGGCGCCGCCTCCCTGTGCGCGCCGTGGAGACGGAGCTCAGGACACGGGGTGCTCACGGGGCGGGGTCCTGGGGAGGCTTGGGAACCCCCGGGGGGGGCCCCTCGGAGGGCCACGCCACGCGGGGGCTGGAGCGGCAGTGCTGTGTGGACACACCGGGCCCTGGATGCTGAAGGTGACTCTTAACCTCTGCTGTTTCCCTGGAGGGAGAGAAACATCTCGCTAGCTACCTGCTCGGCGCTCGGCCCTGGCGTCTTGCAGACTCTCAGGGAGCAGAACACCATGAATGTGGGGGGTTCCGGCTCTGTCTGCGTGGGCTGTCGGGGAAATGAAAGGAGCCCAGCCTCAAGGTGACCACGAAGCCATCCGCCACGCCGCGGGAGAAGGCCCGGGCTCCAGGGTGTCTGTCCCCACGGTGTGACATGGGGCTCGGGTAGCTCGGAGGGGAACACGGCAGGCCGTCAGCGGGGCTGTTTGAGGGTTTGTTTCTTTTATTAAAAAAAAGGTCAATGAGTCACACTTAGATTGTACATTTATTAGAGGATAATTTTTTTAAGGTAAAAAATCATACTTCCGTACAAACGGACTGTGAACACATGTGAAACATTGCATTCAAGTAGACTGCCTGGAGAGGGAAGCCAGAGGGCGAGGTGAGGGGTCGGTGGGAGGGAAGGCCCCGAGGGGTCCCGGGGTGCAGGGGGCGGGGCCTCGGTGGGCGGGGCCTCGGTGGGCGGGGCTGGTCCGCGAGGAGGCGCCCTCCCCACGCGCCGTCACACGCAGGACCCGGGCCTTCCCGCACCTCGCAGAGCAGGACAGCAGCTTCGCGACAAGGACAGGACAGGACGGGACAGAAGGGCGAGAGGCGGGCACAGCCCTGAGGCTGGGACTTTCCCTCTCCGTGCCTTTCGTCACAGCACAGCCGGCGTTAGAAAGGGGGTTCGCGGCCAGGGCGCCACGGCTGATGCGCTGAGCAGCGCGGCTCCAGGTCACACCTGACCGCGAGGTCTCCCGCACCCAAGCGCGCGGGTGGGCAGCAGGAACGCTCCTCACGGGGACAGGTGCTCGCTTGCAGGCCGGGGGCTGTGCAGCGAGGACGGGGGGCCCGGACGGGACATCCTGGCTACCACTGCGCTCGGACGCACAGAGACAGGCAGGGGGCGGGGCGGGCAGTGCCCCGGCGAGTGCAGGCGCGCGCGGGGGCTCTGCGGGCACCGAACCACAGTCCATGTTTGCTGACCACGGGAGTGACCCATCAAGGGCCCATCTACACCGTGCATCCCTGTGCGCGGATTGGAAACCGACCAGAACTGCCCCCTCGGGTCAGAGACCAAACAGAATTGCCCCTCGGACTGGAAACCAGACAGAACTGCCCCCTCGGATTGGAAACCAGACAGAACTGCCCCCTCGGATTGGAAAGCAGACAGAACTGCCCCCTCGGATTGGAAAGCAGACAGAATTACCCCCTCAGATCAGAAATCAAGCAGAATTGTCCCTCGGATTGGAAATCAAGCAGAATTGTCCCTCGGATTGGAAATCAAGCAGAATTGTCCCTTCAGATGGGAAATCAAAAAGAATGCCCCCTCGGATTGGAAACCAAGCAGAACTGCCCCCTCGGACCAGAAAGCAACAGCAGCAGCCCTCGGGGCTGTCAGCACCCACAGCGTGACGGGCAGGGCCGGGCGCAGCAGTACAGAGGGTGTGCGCACACACACACACACGCCTGTACACATATGTGCACAGACCATGCACACACACGCACGCACACTTCACGCACGCCAGTCCGGGTGCGGGGGAAGGCACGCACGGCCGTCAGTTCACGCTGTCTCCACGCACGGGAATGTGTGTTGGTGCACACCCACACACACACACACGCGCGCGCGCACCCATGTGTGCGCGTGCAGTGGCGTGTACGCGCGCGTGTGTGCATGCATGTATTCAGTGCACGTGATTCTGGCAGCACCACCCGAGCAGAAGCATGCCGTGACTGCCCGGGGGGGGCAGTGCTGGCCCCTGCTCAGGGGTCTGAGTCCAGTGTGCACGCGCGGTCAGGTTCATCTGCACGGTGGGGGCGTTCACAAGTCCCGAGGTGGGTGGCGAGGAGGCAGCTACGGCGGCCCGCGGAGGGGGCGGGGCGGGGCGGGGCGGGGAGGGGTGGGGCGCGCCCGCAGCCGCAGGGCCCCGCCTCTCACTCGACCGGGAAGGGCGGCAGCCCGAACAGGTCGGGCTGGAAGTCGTGCAGGGAGCGCAGCACCAGCGTGGCCTTGGCCATGAGGTCTCGCTGCAGGTTTCGGTCGGGCACCATCACCACCTGCATCCCGGCTGCCAGGGCCGCCTCCACCCCGTTGGGAGCGTCTTCGAAGACCAGGCACTGCAGGGTGGGGAGAGAGAGAAGGTTCAGACGGCCCGTGCCCGCGCGGACCCCCGGCGGCCCTCGGGCCGCAGCGCCGGGGGCGGGCGCCGTGCTGCGGACCCGCGGGGGCGGGGTGGGGGGGGCTTCTCGCTTCGGCTGCGGCTGCGGCGAGCAGGGCGCGCGCTTTCTCGCGTGGCTGTTCTTGTCGCTCACGGGCCCCCTCGCGGCACCACGGCCAACGCAGTATCCACAGCAGCTGGGCGGGGCGGGGCGGGCCGGGCTCTCCGTTTAAAACTTTACTCGATTCACAGAAACCTGTGCCATCAATCGTGAAGCACCCAGAGCAGGAGAGGAACGGGGGGGGGGGGGCGGGTGGACGTACCATCCATCGGGGGCCCGCAGGGCTGAGCGACGCGGTCCCTGCCGGTGCCGGCGCCCCGCAACCAAACTCCGTGTCTCCTGTGCGCACGCGTGCGCGCACGCGTGCGCGGTCCCCTCCCTGGGGCCGTGGGAACCCGCCCTGTCACGGGGCCGAGGGTCGCCCACTCACCCCCCACGTCTGACAGGCGGGGGCGCGGCTGAGGCCACGGGCGGTAGTCACCGACTCCCGCAGCACACCCCCCCCCCCCACTGCAGGGGAGTTCCGGTGAGACCCCGCCAGGTGCCCGGGCGACCAGAGGGCGGCGTGGGGCGCTTGCCACTCAGTGTGGGAGCGGGCGGGAGGGTCCTTGTACAGGGCCTGGCGCGCCACAAGGGGCAGAGCGCCAGAGCCCCGGGACAGGGTTGGGCCCAGCTCTCTCGAGTCACCGGCGCGGGATCGGAGCCGAGAGTGCACAGGTCAAGCCAAGGTCACCCGGGCAGGCAGGTGAGAAAGCTGGGAAGAGAGCCTGGCCGTCAGAATTCACGGTTCTTTCCCCTCCACCACGCGGCAGGCTGGAACGCATCTGAATCCGTCTCCAGGGGAACGGATGAGCTGAATTACGCTGTAGCTGGAGGCCTTGAATTTAGACAGGGCGGCGGCTCCCGCTCCCGGGGAGGTGAGGCCCCGCGTCAGGGGCGCAGCAGCGCGGGAGGAGGGGCTGAGCTGCCTCCCCCGAGGGTGCTGTGCCGGGCCTGCGTCCTCAGCCCTGTCCACGCGGGGCAGCGCGTCGCTCCCCCGAGGAGGGCGCAGGGGGCTGCACGAGGCCCCCCTCAAGGATCGTGGGAGTGAGAAGTCCCGTGAGCGGAAGCCGGACGCAGCAGTGCGGGGCGCGGACGCACGCGGATGGATTACGGAAGTATTCACCGCAGAGGCGAGCAAAGGACTGCCTGCTGGGGAGACGGTGCAGTGGGCGCTGGGGCGGGGGCGGCTCCCACGTAGGCTGACCTGGCCAGGTGTCCCAGTGCTCGGGCGCCCTGTCGCTCTCCCTCCAGGGAAGGTCGTGGGGGAGCCTTCCCCGCCCCACCCCGCCCCGCCCACACTGTGCCTCCCACACGTCAGCACAGGCCACGACACTCAGGACACGGGGGGTGGGGGGGTGGCCACACAGTTGAGGGGCTCCACCGAGGGACCGCCCCTTGGCAGCCCTGACCATCGGCCCCTCCCTCCGGGGCCTGTTCCCTCCCACGAACGGCGGCCGGACCGAGCCGGCGCGGCACGCCGTGCTAACGGGTCCCAGCGAGCAAACAAACCGTGGCTAGTGTCCAGCTGCCACGCCGCGCCCCTCCCTCCGGAAGCAGCCCAGGCTCCCGACGGGACGGCGTCGCCTCTCCCCTGGGGAAACACAGAACGGCACGGGAAGCCGCGGCAGGTCCACGCACGAGACGCGGCGTGCGTGGGCGCTGACCTCCCGCTGGGCAGAGCAGGGCCCCCGGGCGGCCCACCGGGTGGCGCCCCAGCCCTCTGTGCCCCACACCTGCCCGTGCACGACGACAACACTCCGAGGAACTGTCCTGACGGACACGCCTCCTCACACCGCTGTCCGCGACGGGTTTTACGGCACCCGCTACGCTTCTACTAACCCGGGGCCCTGCGCACGGCGCCGCGCACCCGGACTCGGAGGGGCCCTTCAACTCTCTTCCACTGGAAGAGTTTTGGTCAACGGCTTCACCATCAAGCGGTGGATGTCTTGGCATAGTCCTTGTCACTGAATGACCGACGGGGGAGCACCACAGCCCTGGGGTGGGGTGGGCTGTGTGTGCGCTTTGTTAGATTTCGCTGAAGCAATAGACCTTTATGTGAGGTGGCAAAGAAGAGTCACGTTTACAACCGTTTTGCTATTCATTGCCACTGTTGTTTCCGTTATTCATCTGTCCATCCACCCACCCACCCATCCACCCACCATGCATGCACCCACCACAGATCCATTTCTCTCTCTCTCTCTTTCTCCCCCCACCCCGCCTCCCTCTCTGCCCCGTTCCCTGTGCAGCACCCCCCCCGGCCCCACCCCTGAAGCAGACCCCAGCGGTGCCGTGGCCCCGGACACCACAGTGTGTCCAGCACAGTGCAGAGCTCCTGCCGCGCTGAGTGACCGCCGCTCCTCGGACAACCCCAGCGCAAACCCAGCACCGACGAAACCCTTCCCTTACAGGCCGATACACGAACGGGCGGTCCCACTAAACGGGCTCCTCTGGGGAAAACACTCGGAAGGACTTCGGAAGTGGGTGGTCGGCTTCCTGGGAAACGCTGTGACGTTATTCATGAGAAGTACACTGAGGCACGCCGAGTGTCCCTTGCAAAGTGCGTGTGCGTGAATTCGGCGCAGAGCAAAGGACTGCGGAGAGAGCGGCAACGCCTCTCTGTGGCGTCCACTCTGAACGATGCGGACGGACTCTGTGTCCACCTACTCCGCAAGGACCACTGACCTCGAAGCCCAGCAGCGCTCTGCAAAGCCCCGGGCACTTAAAGCGCCAGAAAGCCAGGGCGAATCATTTGCAGACGGCCCACAGAGTCTGCGGTCTCTTTCCCAACTCCCTCTGTGTGTTCAAGCATGTGGGCAAAGTCGCCTGGTCTTCCCGGGCCTTTCCCATGGTGCTGTGACACCCGCGGTGACCTCAGGCCGCATCAGCTCCCTGCGCGAAGGGGCAGATGGCCGGGTCAGCCTGGGGAAGGTCACCCGCCGGCGTGACGGACAGGCAGGTGCACAGGCGTGGGGCGCCCCCCCAGCACTGGGTGATGTCCTGACCGCAGGGGGACTGCCCGAGGAGATGGGCCACTGAGGGAGACGTGGAGGGGAAGGGAGGGGAGGCCCTCACACAGCGGGACCGTGTCCCCGGAGGACGAGGAAGAGACAACTCGTGCCCTCGCCACCGGCACACGGCTCAGGCTCCGCCCGAGGAGCCAGGCAGGGGGCTCTCCCCAGAAAGCGTGCCCCGCCCATGGCCCCGACGGCCAGACCTCGGACTCCTTGAGGTGTCTGGGACCCAGCTGCTCGCGCCCGGGGCGAGGAAGTGGGCGTGTCCTGGAGGACGCAGTGCCCCATGCTCCAGAGACAGCCAAGGCACCGCCCGCGCCTGCCTGTGACAGAGCCACGGCGGCGGGCTTGGGGCACCCTGGTACCTACGCACGCCGCCCACAGTGCCGCCGCCGCCCCACGTCCTATGCGGACAGGCTGGCGTGATGCTGGGGCGCACACGGCGGGAGCCCCAGGCAGGGCTGAAGCTGCTGATTAGCTCACGAGCCCACAGGCCTGCGGGCGGGCGGGCGGGCAGGCGGGCCCCTTCTTGGAGCACAGCTGTCACCGCCGCCCACGCGGGAGCTGCGTGCAGTCCTCCGCCGCAGAAGCCTGTCATTAGCGGGCCACTGACCTAGTTCACCGACGACCAGAGGAGGGTGGTCCTGACCTGGAGACACCGGGGAGCCCCCAGCGGAAGGACAAGGCCTGGTGTGCAGGGCAAAGCGTCCCAGAAGCATGCAGCCGCCGTCGGTCCCCGGCCGGGGCTTTGCGGGCCCACAGTGCGGTGCTTGCAGAGCGCAGAGCAATAAAAGGGGGGACTTAAGTGGTGGCAGTCGCAGATGGGACTGGGGGCGGAGACCGCCCGCGTGAGGGCGCGCTCGGTGAACACCAGTGTGTCAGACATGTGCCCGCCTCCCGGAAGACCTGGGGGGCTGTCAGTGTCCCGGTGACGCGGGCGCCCTGCTCCCCGCCGTCTCAGGAGACGTCACCCGCACCTCCCGCACGGGAGTCTGCGCGGCCCCTGCGCCACGGGGAGCCCTAGACGCCCGCGCCCCACCCACCAGCCCGCGGACAAGGCGCCCGCAGCCGTGCTCCCCACCGCCGCCGCCGCCGCTGCCGCCCCCACTGAGCGCACCTTCTCCACGGGCGCGGGAGGGGAGAACCGCTTCGCGCAGGCCAGGAAGATGTCGGGCTCCGGCTTGCCGTTCTTCACCTCGGGGTCGTCCCCGAGCACGATGTGGTCGAACAAGCCGAAGAACTCCTTGTGCCTGAGGGTCTTCATCTCGAAGGAGCCGGTCCCAGAGCTGGTGGCCACGGCCATGGGCACGCCGTGCTTGCGCAGGTGGCGGATCAGCCTTTCCACCCCTGGGGGGGAGGAGGAGGAGGAGGAGGAGGGCGGGGCTCAGGGAGGCGGACCCGCACGGCCACGGCCACGGCCACGGCCGTCTGCGGGCCCGGAGACCCCGGCGCACCGCTCCCTCCGCGCGGACCGGTCTGATCGGACGTGCACCGCCCGCCCCACAGCGCCGTGACCGCGCAGCAGAACTCAGCCACGCCGCCGGGGCGGTGGAAAAAAATGTCCTCATCGGTGTATTGTGTCCGAGGAAGAGGACTTTCAAGGTGACGGGAGCTTAAACGTGTAAGAATAAATACACAATCTCGAATAAATTCCGGCTGTTTTGGGTCCTCCCCGCCAAAACATCATTAAAGACTGTGATGGACACTCCTCCAATTTTAAACCCAAAATTACAGCCATGACTGCCCGTTTTTCTTCCCCCTCACCAGGAATTCGAAAGGCTCAGTGTTCTTCGCCTTTCTTCCTGGAAGAATCTTAAACCGAGTCGTATTGCACCTTTACGCCTCTGTTGGCCCCGTAATCTAGAACGTTCCCGGTCTTGCACTTTCAGCAAGAGACGTGGGGCAGTTCTGACGGGTCTGCAGTCAGCAGCCCCCTAGGGAGACAAGTCCCGTTCCCTTCGGTGGCACACAGGCGGGCGGGGAGGGAACGGGGTTACAGGCAGACACGTTACACGTGAACTATGCCTTTAACGTTTGTTTTTTTTTTAAATTCAGCTTGTTTATCATCAATGTGTTCCAGTTTCAGCACCGGCTGAAATATTACTACTATACCTGGTTTTTGAAAAGAAAAAAGGCCAAGGCGTGTATTCCAGTGCAATTCTGCAGCCATTTTGTCATGAATACGGTATTTAGGGAACGCGGACACGGACAAAACCCCAATGTGTTTGGGGGACCCCGGGGCTCAGCGAAAAGAATGAGTATCATGTTAAGACGCCCTGAAAAGGCCAGGCCGAGGCGCAGCGCTCTGGAGCGCCGTGGGTCCGCCCGGGCAGAGCGCGTTCCAGCAGCAGCAGCGCCGCAGAGTGCGCCCCGCGCCCCCACCACGGGACCCCCCAGCCCAGCGCGGGGGAGGAGGCCCGCACCTGGTAACAGCGCCGCCGTGGGAAACAGGTCCCTGAGCCGGGCCTGGCTCTCCCTCACCAGCGCCTCCTTGTCCGTGGGCAGCTGCAGCTCGTCTATGATGATCTGCGCCGCCTCCAGGGCCTTCTTGCCCATCACCAGCGACTTCACGGCCCACGTGTACTGCTTGCCGTAGCGGCCACAGATTTCCTGGAACACCGCCGAGTAGAGCTGCTCGGTGTCTGCAGAAACCACCAAGGGGAGACGAGGGGGTGGGGGGGGGGAGTTAGGGTGTGCGTGCCACGGGAGCGAAAAGTCCCTGCCACGTAGGCAGGTACACGCCTGGCCCGCCCACGCGTGCCGACGGACGGCAGCACGCAGGGCCACCGGCGTGGGGCCGTCCGCGGTCAGGGTCCCCCAGCAGGCAGCGCCCCCAGAGGCGAGCCCAGCAGGCACGCCCCGCTGCGGGCGCCGCCTGAACACGGCGTGAGCACACACTCGTCGGTGCAGCCCGAGTGGGGGACGCACACGTCCTGCGCTCGCCCCTCGCTCTCGCGCGCCCGCCACACCACGCCACACTGCTGACACCCCCTGGGGGGGGCGGGGGCTCCCCAGCCAGCGTTCAGGGACGGCAGGTGGGCGCCCGAAAGTTGACTTGGCCCTGACCCTGCTGACCCGGAGAGGGCGCCCGATCGTCCCCAGGGCCCAGGCTCGGCGCCCAGACCGGCGGCGGCGGCGGCGGCGGCAGCGCAGGCTCCGGGGGAACAGTGCCCACGCCGCCACCGCGCAGCGCAGCGCAGCGCACTACGACCCAGGGCACCCCGTGTGTGTTCTCCAGGTCTCCGTTTTGCAGATGCAGGCGGAGCCTGTAAACAACCAGCAGCCCCGGCGCCAGGACCACCGATCCCGGCACAGGGGGCGGGGCCAGGACGACGGGGGACCGCGGGTGAGGGCTGAACTGCGGCGGGAGCCACGTGCGGCGCTCTCCGGGGGCCTGTCACTCAGCGCAGCCTCGCGCCCCGGAGCGCGCCACCTGGCGGCTCAGGCCCCGCCCCGCCCGGAAAGCCCCGCCCACGTGGGAGGGCCGCGCTCCGGCGAGCCAATGGCTGGCGGCCGTGTGGGCGGTCCCTGCACGGCGAGGAAAGCCTACGCGCAGAGGCGCTGCTGATTCCAGCCCGCGCGCGGTGCTAACTGCGGCCTCAGGACCCTCCAGGGCTCCTGAGGTCACGTGCAGGGCGCACGTTCTGGATGGAACCTGTGCGGTGCACGCGACCCTGACTCCGGCACAGGGCGGAGCGACCTCGAGAGCTTGCAAGTGCGCCTCCCCACACGGGGACGGACGCGTGCAGTCACGGTGCGTAACCGCTGCTGTCTCCGTTGAGTAACTACTTGCACAGAGAGGAACCGCAGGCGCCGCGCGCGGGGGCCAGACCGCCGCTGCGTGTCAAGGGCAAGGGCGGCAGGCGCGCAAAGGGCCAGAGGCCGGCGGGAAGACACGGGGGCCGCTCTGGGGCCCTCGCTAACTCCCGCAAGGGCTCGGAAAGGGGAAAGGGGAAAGCAGTGGGAGAAAGTGAACTCCAAAGACAGAAAAAAGAAGCCATCTCCTTGCACAACGCTTTACACCGCGTCTGCTGAAAGCTGCAAACGCTGCAGAGCTTCTCCTTTAGAAGGCAGGGCCGTGGGTTCGGCGTCCTCCTCCCCAGGCGGACACGGCCCCCTTGCATCGTCCCAGCGGGCGGAAATCACGCAAATCCTCGTGGCACAGCGAGGGTCTGACAGCGCACCCAACAAGCCCCTCGGATCCCAATGCGACCAGTGCGGGCGACGACGGGCTCACTGCAAGTTAATGGGGCGACGTTTCCAAGGCAAACACGCCTCCCGACGCCGACAGACACGCGCCCACGGAGCACGAAGCAGCTGCGCCAGGTCGTGGAACCGAACGCACGGGGCCCCAGCGCAGGAGCAGCAGCACGGCTCTGCGGCGGTGTCTCCGGGAACTCAGCACGTGTGGCGCACGCAGCAGCCACACAGGCCCCTAGAGGTGTCTCCTGCGGAAACGCGAGCCTCCCTGCGCCACGGGACCCGCGGCATGGGGTCCGGGCAGCGCTGCAGGTGAGGGGGTCCCGTGAGCCTCGAGAGAGAGAGAGAGACAGAGGGGCACTCGGGGTGCCAGCTGCCCGAAAGGCTGGTCTGGTGCTTATGAGCCGCACACTGCATTACCACGTGGGCAAAGGCGGAGCGGTCAAGGTCATTACACGGCTGCAGCAGGCGTGGGTGCCCCTGGGGGAACGCCCCCCCCCGCGGTGGCCTCGAAGTCGTTTCCTCGAAGTCGTGCGCCACCCGGCACACGAACACGCTTCGTAAACACTCGTGGAAGCTTCTGCCCAGTTGCATGACCGAGAAGCTTCCGGCCACGGAAAAGCTGTCACTGCGCAGCGAGATGCGGAGGGATCCGTATTCGCTGCTCTCAGCGCGAACCCTCACCCACCTGCCCACCAGGAGCACGGGTGGGTTGGATTCTGCAGGCGGCCCCCCCGCCCCGAGCTCCCGGAAACCGCAGCTCCCATGGGATACATGTTGTTCCTTCCTCTTCAAAATAATAATTAAAAAGTATACATAGAACCGGCTCCACGGGTTCTGGAAAAGGGACTGCGGACCGGCCCTGTGATTACCGGCTTACGCGGAGCTTATCCGGCGCACCTTGAACAAAGCGATGTAATGCTCTCTCTCCAAAGCTAACATGCCTTGCAAATACTCCTTCCTCATTTCCAGTTACCGGAGGGGGGGGGCTGGGCAAGGAGTCCACCGGCAGCCGGTGTTTCCGGCTACGGAGCGGTGCGTGTGCCGCGGGGACGGAAGCCAGCCCGCTGTCCCCCGGGAGGCCGTCACCCCCAGCTGGGCCGGGCGGAGAGGTCGCAGCGAGCTCCCCGCCCGCCTTCCCTCCCCCAGAAACGCAGCACCGTTCTCACGTGCGGTGCGCACGGCCTGTTTTCCCTGTCAAATGGCTTTAATTAAAAAAAAAAAGAAAGAAAAAAGAAAGAAAAATTCAGCGCACAGTCCATTCCGATATAAGTGGTGGTGCCGTGAGTTTTCTAGGTTGTTTTCGTCGGATGCAGGTAACTGATGATGGTCGAAAGGACTTTTTTCCCGCTTTTTTTTTTTTTTTTGGTATTTGATTCACTGCGTTTGTCCGCCCCCGCCCCACCGCCCCGCCCAGATGTGCAGCTCCGGGATGGCAGCTGCGGGAGGCCCACTCCTGGGTCCGCGCCTGGGGTGGGGCCGCTCCCTGCGCTTGCTCCAGCCCCCGTGGGGCAGAGCCGGGCCTGTGCTCCAGGGAGGCCCGTCGTCCACCGGTGTCCACTCGAGTCCCGCGCTCCCTGAACTTGGCCAGCTTAGCATACCAATGCCCTTGAGCCGAGGCTAGCTTAAGGCGACCGGTCCCCCATAGAGACTCGCCCGCACCCAGTAAAGAGCAAACAATCTGTGGAGTGAACCCTGATACTTAGAGTTCGCTTTCCCGTCCATCCACGGCTAACGTGACCTGTCATTTCCTTCCGTGTGTCCTCCCCTCCCCCCCATCAGACTTATCCTGACCAGTCTGTAACAAAAAAAACGCGGAGTTGTACACAATGTATACTGGTAATGCTGGTACCAGGTGTTCGGCATCGTGATTCGGACAATGTATACCCGAGGAGAGCAACCCCTCGTCCTAGTGGGCGGCTGTGCCCAGAGAGACAAGTCACAGTGTTACAGATGATGCCCCGCCCCCTGACACCCCTCCCCCACCCCTCCCCCTCCCGCCCCCTAGCCTTCAGCCCTGTTTCCCAGGAGTCTGTTTCTGTTTTGTTTTGTTTGTTCATTGTTTATGCGCTTTTCAGATTCCGCATGGAAGTGAAACCATATGGAATTTGTCTTTCTCTCATTTATTTCACTTGTGAAAACAAGACGTTCTTTTTTTTTACTCATTCCCCGAGGATCTGTTTATTGACTTGAGAGAGGAGGAAGGGGGAGAGAGACCGGGAAACATCCACGAGAGGGAGAAACGTCGACGGGTGCCCTCCCGCACACGCCCTGACCGGGGACGGGACCCACCACCCTGTTGGCGTGAGGGGGCGTCGCTCCAACCCACGGAGCCCCCGGCCGCAGCTGAGAGAGAGCAAGACTGTGTCTGTGAGAAACCTGGCAGGGGCCCGGGGTTCTGGAGGAGCAGAAGTCCGCCCGGTGCCGTGGCACCACGTGAGAGGTGACGGCAGATGGACCTGCGACGTAGCTGTGATGGGGTGGCACGGACACAGCTCCCCCGGAAGGACACGGGAGACGCTGCCGCTCCTTTGGCAGGAACACGGAACCGGGAATAAAAGCTCGGACAGATGCACGGAGGACACCAGTGACAGGATGAGTGAACGGGTCCACCCTCCTCTGTCGACTGGGCACTGAGACCGAACGGTCTCCAGTCCCGGGGCTGAGGAAGGGGATGGGGCAGGTGAACCCTGGGGGCCGGGTTTGGGGGCCGGATCTGGCAGGGGGTCCTGCCTATGCAGTCCTGAGAGCCCTTCTGGTCTGAGGGAGGGTGCCACGGAACCGGCCCCCTGTCCACAAAAGGGCGGCGTGGCCCGCAGGGCCGCGTGCTGAAAGCCGTGCTGGGAAAGACGGGAGCCAGAGCAGGCCACGCGTCTCCGGGGCCCGGGCAGGGGCCGGCGGCGGACACGGCGCTTCCCCACCCTGGGCTGGCCTCGGGCTTCTCCAGACTCGGGGCGGCAGCCCTGCCGGTCGCCCGTTCCTAGAAACCTCCTGGCACACGCTGCCGGAGACAGGTGGGGACGGCAGGGCCCTGGCATGACCGCAGCGGTACGCTTTGGCTCAGGGCGGCTTCCAGCGCATTCCTGCCAGGGGCAGCTGGCCCCCGAGGCCACGGTGCTCCTGCCAAAGCAGCCGCTTCTGTGGGCGGAGAGAGTGGCCGCCTGAGGCCCCGGACGCCCCGGAGGAGCAGGAAGGCAGAAACCCCCGGGAGGGCCGAGAGCGCACGAGCAGACCCCACGCTGAGAAGGGGCTGGCAGGGGCGACGCGCGGCCGTCCCCGCGTCACACACAGGCGTGGTCCTGCGGCCCGGCCCTGTGTGCCAGGGAGCCAAAGGCCCGGAGGGGCCGGGAACCAGCAGGGCCCTCGCGCACGCCAAGGCCCAGACGGAGAAGGCGCCAGCCACCAGCACTGGCACTGGGTGGGGGCTCACGAGCAGGCAGGG